TAATAATAATAATAATAATAATAATAATAATAAAAAGAAGATTATTATTATTATTATTATTATTTCCTTGGGTTTCTGTTGTATACACATTTCTTCCAAGTTTTCAACCAGAGACATAAGTTTAGAAATGGTTTCATGACTTCCACAGGCCATTTTTTTAAAAACAAAACCAAAAAATAACCTAAGATTAACCTGAAAGTAGTAACAATATAACGAAGCCAAATCAATATACTGTAAACTGTATATTAATTGACTGTCTAATAATAAACTGCCTATTACTAAAAGAGTAAAAGGATAAGCAGTGTTGTTTGGGGCTGAGTGGATATTGCGGAAAGCGCTGGATACTAAAGGAGATTTGTTATACTCGTACCAGCGATAGCGCCCTGTTACGTGCTGTGATCATATAAATGCCATTTATTATTATTATTATTATTATTATTATTATTATTATTATTATTATTATTATTTCTGTATGTTATGATTCCTGCTTGTATTCTGTAAAGCTGAGCCCAACCTATGGTCTTTAGGCCCTATAGGAGAATTGTCATTTAAATGATAGCACTTTTCTTAGTGTATGGGATGTTCCTCGTAGGGCGATCTTTTGGGCAGCTTCTCTGTTGATGTTAGCTGTGACACTGTTAGTAAAATAGTCCATTCCTTTTCTCGCGAGGACCAGACTTAAAGTTACTAATGTTAGTCTCAGTCTATATTCTACACATCCCGTTAATCTCGATCTCCAGGTCCTTGTATTTGGAAAATTTCTCGATAATTTTCTTGGAGGTGTTTCTTTCAAATGGTACTGCTATATCAATATGCATACACTTCCTGAATTTCTTGCTTTTTAGGTATTATCAGATCTGTTGCCTTTCATTTTCCTGACAGTTTGTTTTGGAATACCTCAGAAGATAGATACATCGTTATTTTGGGTAATTGTGTCTGGTTGGTGCTCATATCACCTCCACATGGTTTCGATTTTGTGCTTCTTGCATATTTTCCAGTGAATATGTGTTGCTGCCTTGTTATGCCTGTGGGTATGTTCATTTTTTGCTAATTCTGGACATCCTAAGATAATATGGTCGACAGTTTCATCATATTTTCCGCAGATTCTGTATTTCGGTTAGTTCCATCTTTGATTATGTGACACTGATAGGATGTGTTTGCGAGGTCCTAAGCTGTAATAATTCGGACTTCTGTCTCAGTTTAGAGCCCGGTGCTCTTTAGACTCTGATGTGTTTCCTGTTGGTTCACATCTGCTTCTTTCGTTCTTTTTGTGTATTTACCACGCAAAGCCTTGTCCTCCCATGTTTTTGTCATTTTATTTGGCCAAGTTGTTTTGTTTTCTGTTTTACTCGTCTGGCGTAGATGGAATTCGCTTCGCTTTTTGTTGGTAGAATTTCAGGTATATTAAGCTGTTTCTTGAAAAGTGCAGCTTCTTTGTCGGTGGAGTGGATCTGGCGTTTTACTATTTGTAGGAGAGGGCCATTGTTTTTTGTGAGGTATCCTTCCAATCCGATTGTTGTATGTTTTCAAGTTAATTCAAGTTCGACCCCTTAAAGCTTTTCGTATATACTACATATCAACATCTCATTTCGGGTGGTGCATCCTCATTTGGGTAATCATTTTTTTGGTCTTGACGTCCAATCTTTAATTTCATTTAACTTCCGTTTAACGATGTTAAATCTGTATGTTACTACAGGTAGAGTTAATGATAGCCTTCATTTTACTGGCCCCATTTAGTTCGCTTTCTAGTATCAAACGCACTTCCCGATAATATTATTTTCGGATATTTTCTTCATAATTGGATTTTGTATTTCGCCTCCTTTATTTATTCCTAAATAATTGTATGTACCATCTTGATCTAGTTCTTTAATCTTGTTGTTGATATTGGATATTGGTTTGGAGAGGGTAAGGGCAGGTGCATTTTCTACAATGTATTCGTTTTGGAATCAACATTATCTGCCACAACACATTCTCTGAAAACTCCACAAAATCAGTAATCTATTTACTTTGTGACAAACCAGAAGTCGCAAAGAGACAAATCTGAATGGAAAAGTTGCTTTCCAAATGCTAAGCAAAGTATTAAGAAACAAGAAATGTTAGTTTGAATCAAAGAAAACAGTGCTGAACCGCTTTGTAATATCAATCCTCCTATATCGAACTAAATATTGGTCAATTTTTTCAAAGATTAAAAGAAGACTTAACGCAAAAGAAATGTTGTTCTATAGAAAGATGCTGAGAATACCATAGATGGCGCACGTGAGAAAAATGCAAGGAAAACAAACGCTTATACTTATAACCAGAAAGAGAGTTAATACTTTTCTAGGACACAGGATTAAAAAACATAAGTCTTAGAAAATTTGATACTCTCTGGACATACTGAAGGCATGGGTGGCATATGGAATAATCGACTAGCCTATCTAACGAACTTGGGTGGGGACAGTAAAAAGAAAAATATTGCTACAAGCTTCAACTGATTGGAGATTCTGGTGAGCCATGAACGCCTACGTCCTGAACGGACACGGAACATTAAAATATTAGGGGACTGACTTCCCTGGCTATCATAATATACCAAAGATGTCTGCTAAAGACGTGAAGAGCAAACAAGGGAATTGTCACAATAAATGAGACGGCCACGCAGTTCACAATCTCACACCAATGGTGTCTTACTTCTGACTGCATAATCTCACAGACAATGCTCACATATGCATAATAAGATCTCTTCTGAATGTTTCTTTGAAAGCTATGTAAACATTCCCCGTGAAATTCAAAATATCTTGAGATTTCTGGACAGATTTCGTCAGGGATGGGTTGTTCGAAATTCCTCGTCTCGACCCATTTCACAATATCAAATAAATAACCAGACCGAAATCTTTTCAGTACTTCTTCAAACTACTGCTATTACTATTACGATTACTACCACTAATAAAAAGATGACTACGTAACCATCAATAAGAGATTCAGAATAATCCAGAACTTATATTGGAAGCAATCCGACTCCATACGGATAGAAAATTGGATTCAGTAAATACAGAAATATATAAAAAGGGCGTACAAGAATGTCTCTTCGCACAGGACATATTCAATCTTTACAGCAAGGCGATCCCAAGAGAACTACAAATCCTACCAAGATTTATTATTGGTGGACAGAATCTTCACAACATAAGGTATGTAGAAGATAATGTTGATAGCAGGCGCAGAAAGGAAACTTGAGGTGTCTCTTCAGACAAGGCAGTAAAAGAAAGTGAGAAGAAAAGTAAGAACCTCAACTCTAAGAAGATGGAATGTATGATTGTTAGCAAGATGAATAGACCGAGATGCGCCCTACTAATTGGAGATGCCAAACAAAGCATGTACTAAAATATAAATATCTGAGAAGTATTATAACAAAGGACGGGAAATATAAATACGAAATCGGTAGGTGAACCGGAATAGCAATCGAAGTCTTGAAAAGCTAAGCAACGTTTTTAAAAAGCAGGAAAACTTCATTAGAAACCAGGAAAACAGTGCAGAACTGTTATATAATATAATTCCACCTATATGGCAGTGAATGCCATAAAAGATTTCAGACATCTGAAATATCGTTCTACAGAAGGATGCTGAGAATACCACGCACTGGACACGTGAGTAACGAGAACATTTTAAGGGATTAGAAATAAAATAACTTTTATATTTAGAACCAATAAGATTCTGGGTGTAATGGTAAAAACAGAAACTTTAGGAAGAACTGCAAAATATAGAAGATTGTAAAGATCCATAATTACCTCCGTTCTAAAGAGACACCTCAAATAGAATAATAAGGAGATAAGAATGAAAATAGCTTTCTGAATTGACGGTGAAATAGTGCTGAATTGACAAATAATTAATAATGGTTTCAACTGGAGTTTTAGAAGATGCTATTCGATTGACTATACAAGTAGTGTGGTTATCGGCGCGGAAATTTAAACAGGAGAATCGAATTCAATCTCTGGACATTTTTGATGCGTTTACTTTTGCACTTGGAAGAGGTATGAATGTATTTATACTCGTCCAGCTATATGTTAAATAAAAGGAGATACAAAGTTGTATAGCCTTGGGTGACAGCCAGTATGAGCAAAGAACAATTTGAGATTCAAACTGTGGAGAAGGAACCGACTCCACCATTTTTCCAAAGTGGTGACGACTATTCACACATTAAGAAAATAAAACTGGAGAAGGTAATGATCGCATATTTACTGAGAGAGATTGGCATTTAAAAAAATTGACTTAGCTCAATCAATTTGGCACGGAAAAAAACTTATTTTACTGGACTCCATTTTGAATATGACCTAAGTTATTTTTATGGGAGTCTCCCAAATAATTCTGAGCTGTTTATGATAAGATCACTAGGGAATATCCTTATGCTCTTGTTATCATATTACCAGGACTTTAAATCTGTGTCCAACTTAATAGACCCTGACATGAAAAGAGTGGCAGCAGTTTCATCCGAGATGAAGAAAGGGAAAGATGCTGGTAATGATGAAGGATGGATTCGTCGGGATAATCTTTTATTATTATTATTATTATTATTTTTATTATTATTATTATTGCTCTTTTAATACTGGAAACTGTAAAAGGAACAGCAAATTGATGAAGCTGATAATAGGGATGATGAAAGAGATGTGTAGTGGCGCTGGGGTCTGTGGAAAAGGACGACTAAATTTGCCATGAAAAAACTCGCAGTAAATAGGGCTATTTAGTTGCTTGTTTCTTTATTTATAGTATTTCGGTTATCCTGTAATACTAGTGGCACATAATTTTAGAGCGATAGTAGAACACGGTTATCTAATCGTGCCTGCACGTCTGGTGAACACAGGATCTTACTGCTGGTGATGTCAAGGTGAAAGAAGATAAACTAACACTCAGTTGTTGGCCTTGTCTGGCTTACCTAACCGCGCATCGCTTCTTCAATACATCTAGTCTGCCTTCTAATATTCCGGCATTTTTTATCGCTTTTAAATGTATATCTTTATTTTACTTTTAAAATGTTTTTATTCACTATATCTTCACCACGAAACACCTTTCTTCTTTCTTTTTTTTTTCTTTCTTTGGCATTGCCTCATTTTCTTTCTGCTTATCGTATTCGATTTTTTCGATTACGGTCTTCTTGCCGACCTGGCTTTCTTTCTTTCTTTCTTTCTTTCTTTCTTTCTTTGATGTCTTGCCTTATTCCCTTCGTTTTTCCTTCATTTTTCCTTCATTTTATTTACTATCTTAAGTCTCTTTTTCAACCATTTGCAAAATCTGTCTTCTTGTCTAGTGACATTTCTTTCTTTCTTTTTTCTTTCTTTCTTTCTTTCTTTCTTTTCTGTTTACTTGCTTGCTTGCCTCCTCTCGTCCGCTTTTCCTTCCTTTACTTTTCTCTTCTGTTGTTTCATATTCTTATATGCTTAACTTCTTCTATATCTATATATTATTTTTTCTCGCTTTTTCTTTCTTTCTTTCTTTCTTTTTTCTTTCTTGTTTACTTGATTGCTGGCCTTCTCTTGTTTGCTTTTCTTTCATTTCCTTTTCTTTTAGACTGTCGCATTTTCTTAAATTTATCAGTCTTTTTAGAAATCTGCCTTCATCTCTATATATTCTACTTTCTTTCTTTTTTCTTTCTTTCTTTCTATTTACTTACTTGCTTACCACCTCTTGTTCGATTTTCCTTTCCTTCCTTTTATCCATAATTTTCTCATTTTCTTTATGTTTAACTTTCTTAGTCTTTGTCAAAATCTGTCATCTTGTCTATATAATGTTCTTTCTTTCTTTCTTTCTTTCCCTACCTCTGTTCTTTCTTTCTTTCTTTCTTTCTTTTTCTTTCTTTCTTTCTTTCTTTTTGTGTTCGTTCGTTTGCTTTCCTTACTGTTTTCTTTTCTCTCCCTTTCTTTGCTTTTCCTTTATATTTACCTTTCAAAGAGTATTTCCCTTTCCTTTTTTCGATATATGAATCTTCATTCTCTTTCTAATATTCTTTTGTACATATTTCTCTAACCGTTTTTTCGCTTCTCTCATTCCCGTTTTCTTTGTTTTTTTCTGTATATTTTGCTTTCTTTTTTATCGACCGCATTCTCAGTGATCAGTTAAAAGTCCTGTCTCGGGTAAACTCTCTTTAATAATCATTTATTTATCTTTCTTCTCTCAAAGTTTAAGTCTGTCCGACGGTTTGTTTGAATCCACTACAATTTCATTTTGTCTCCCTAACACTTCTTTTCTTTTAGTCAATATTTTGTCTCTCCATTTCACTCCTCTTTTAGTCAATATTTTCATTCGCTTTTATTTCTCCTTCCGTGTATATTTTGTTGCTGCTGAGATCCTTCAATATCAATATTTCTCATGATTTAGTCTTACGCGTTTCCTTGCACCTGCCTGAACTTCTTTCTTCAACGTTTGATTTACACCTGCATATTCCATTCCAGTCGGTCAGTCTGGGTTTGGTTCATTTTCATTGCTTTCCCCTCTCTATCTCGCTTTTACCTTTCTTTCTCTCCCCACTCTTTCTCTCTTTGTCTCCCGCATCACAAACGTACTGCTTCTCAACCCCCGTCCCCAGTCTTTTAAATATCTAACATATGTCACTCAAACACATATTTCGGGTATTGTTTTCCTCTGATTTGTACAACTACTCATTATCAAGTATCATTAAATTGTTATATCTATCTATCTATCTATCTATCTATCTATCTATCTATCTATCTATCTATCTATCTTTTTTTTTTACATTACAATTAATTTACATTAACCAGAAAAAAAGGCTTAGACACAAGCGTCTATCTTTTTAATTTTGAATTTTAACGTAACTATAACAACAAAAACATTTTGATTTCATTTTTGCCTTGAAAAAGTCATTTGATACCATATATATATATATATATATATATATATATATATATATATATATATATATATTAAAAGACTCAAACACTAATATTCCATGGTTATAATTTATTACATTGGAATCGTAATCACGATCCAATTTATCAGGCCTACAAATTCAAAAAGCTATATATATATATATATATATATATATTTCTTTTTTATTAGTACGGTTCATCCTGTACAAGTGTACTAGGCATTTTGTATGGATAAGAGAAGAAGATAATGGTTAACTGTAAACTTAAACAGGTTAAGATTGTAGTGATCAGAGAAACATCCTCTTGGGATTCGTTTCTACAGGGCAGTGATTCGCTGAAAAAAGCTATTCGAGTAGAACTTACTACTTACCGTTAGAATACAGAGGGAATGACGGTTTTTTGCTACAATGTAAGTGGCATCGCGGGTCCTTTCCGTGAAGTTTAGGCCAAGCCGAACCAAAAACTGTTGTTCGCCCGAGCAATTTCCGTGAAGGTAGGTATAGAGCAGATAGAGACTACCAAATCTCGCATATGAAAGAGAGGTTGGATGGTGGAAAATCTCTCTGTCTGTCCTCCGCTTTCCAGCTTATGATGATTCTAATTTTATTTACACATACATTTATATTTAAAACCAATTGAATGCTCATAACTTGTGATATGTTTCCTTTACATTGCTGTACGTATCAGGTGAATCAAATTTAATATAAAAGAATAGAAAAGTAAACATAGATTACTTTGCATTAGGGACAGTTTCTCCCCAAAACGTAAGTTGTAACAAAATCAAAACATTTACTTAAAAGCACAAGACATGTTCATAACTAACTTCATATCGTAATTATAATATAGATGTCATGCATTCAGCTAATCTTATCTATCAGCTGTATACAACCGCTTTCTCAGATTAATGGATAAAGGCGGCTTTGAACCAATAAACCATGCACGTCTTAGCAAAGAGCATCCTTCTTCAAACCTCGTGGACTTGCATTACAGAATCACAGATAATGAACACTTTTAAATAACACCATTTGCGCACCTCAACTAAAATGGAGAGCATATGTAAATTGAAGAGAAAGTAATGCCATAATGAAGATGTTGACGTTCCACACTACTTCACTTCAGACACTTAATCTCCCTAAATAGTGGAACAGCTAGTATATTGGAAAAACCTATTTAACATATTAAACACACACACACACACACACACACACACACACACACACATATATATATATATATATATATATATATATATATATGTATATATATATCCACAGATATATATATATATATATATATATATATATATATATATATATATATGGATCCACAGATTTGTGCACAATACACGACACATCCGAAAATTGGAAAAATATTATAAAAATTAAACAGTAGAACCTTTCCGTTTCTCTTTAATCAAAATTGTTTGTGTATATATATATATATATATATATATATATATATATATATATGTTTCACCAAATGTTACGTTACGTTGAATTTTAACTTATTCTTATTTCTTTTTCAGGCGTATCGTAAATGTAAATTAACTACTTCCAGAGAAAAACACAATGTGCTTTTAGCACTGGCCACTAACCACAGCGAGTGGAAAATAATCAATTTTAAGAAAGTGGATAGCCCGACAGATAGAATGACTGATGAATCTCCGTGGATCTCTTTTAAATACCAACTGTGATAATGTTCAATTTAACATTAACCAAGAAAATCAGCGGTGTTCAGATCAATGGCTGTGGATGGGTAAGGGAAAAGCCGCCCAGTTTATTCGCACAGGCCCAGTTTATCGCCTAATTTGATGGGTACGGTGACCAATTCACTTCTCCATCTCTCAATAACCTGAAGTATTTGGCTGAGAATGATTATTTGCCGTTAACCTTCCAGCAAGAAACCCGTGGACTACAAGGACTGAGCGGCTGCATGATATTTTTTATACTACGTGGTTCTGGTAATGAGGAGCAAATTATAAAGATAAACAAAGGTATTCGATCGAAAAACAAAACAAAAACAAAACCAGAATAATTTCATATTTACCCGAGAAAAAGACAAAAAAAATATTATTCAGTAAAACTTCCCTCGGCGGGGACAAAATCTTGGATGCGGCCAAGGAATCGACTCCATGTCCAGATCAGGTGATTCACGTTTATTTCTATTAAAATATTTTTTCAAGAAAATGGCTTTATCCAGTAACTATTATCGGAGGGAGAGGGCTTCCTTTCTAACCTTTTGTTTGAAGTAGTGTGGAATGTCAACATCTTGATTATGTCATTAATTTTCCTTCCAGTTACATGTGCCATTCATTATAGTTTTTGCTGTTGTTGAATGTCATTCAATGATGTGTTTTTGTTATTTCGTAACTTATTTTGTTTGTGATTCTGTAGCGCCAGTCCCAGAGTTTTCGAAGATGACTTCAATGATACTTCTCTATTGTGTGGCCGTGGTTTGGTCTCCTTCTGGACGATGTGTGAAACGTAACAGGCCGGGGAATACAAATAAGATCTCAGAGGCGTGAAAAATCTCGGCTAATTGTTCTTCTCTCACATGGATGAAGGGGAAGGAGAAGTGAATTGCTGGAATCGGCGTTGATCGATCCAGTGAGTGACAGCTTTCTATTTTTTTTAAGATAAATTTCAATACATAAAATGAATAAAGTTAACAAACAGAAATGAACTTGTATTGAATTTATAGTATGCAAAGGGATTTACAGAATATAAAGATGATTTTTGAATATATTTATTTAATACACTACTATACTGCAATAACATTAATAAATTGAAAATGTTACAAATGTTTCTCATATGACATTAAAGTCATCTCTAATTTGTCAACACAGACCTAGTACACGCATAAAATGCCTGAAATAGCGACCAGGTACAACGTCTCACTTAGCGATCAAAACATTTAGCAAACAAATCGTTGGAAAGCAATCCAGTCGCTAAGTGAGAAGTGGTTGTATATATACTTCTTATGAAGATTTCTCTGCATCTTCTTTGTTTATAGGTCTGTTCGTATTTATTGTTATCTTTTGTAAGATATTGCAATTCCCCCGGGTCCATATGTAAGCTCATCACTTTATAGTTGCGAGCAAAATACGTCTCCATCTTGATCTTCAATTTCCTCACAATGTTTAACCTTCTCTATACATTTACAAAAACAAGCAACATTCTTTTACCTAAAACATCTAATTATCGAACTGTGTGCATATGCACGTCTATGTCGACGTATGTTCACATGTTTGTATATATGCGTGTATGTATGTATGTAGTTCATGCTTAAGCCTGTTACTGGTAACGATGTAACCTAGTACAATCTACGAAATGGACAGGTGGGCAGCATCTAAACTGGATCTGCCACTAGCTTTTCTGCTGTTAACCTTCCAGCAAGAAACCCATGGACTACAAGGACTGAGCGGCTGCATGATATTTTTTATACTACGTGGTTCTGGTAATGAGGAGCAAATTATAAAGATAAACAAAGGTATTCGATCGAAAAAACAAAACAAAAACAAAACCAGAATAATTTCATATTTACCCGAGAAAAAGACAAAAAAATATTATTCAGTAAAACTTCCCTTATTTTTTATTATATAGGATTTTATTTTTATATATAGGATTGCATTTCACCCCATTGGACGAAAAACAAGACATGTCAAAGTGGGAGAAGAATTTCTTATAGTAGCCAACGGCCAACGTATGTGTATACATTTATATTGCATCGGGATGTACAAATGTCTGGGTTAACATCCAGGTGCAGTTATAGATCACTAGGTTTGTGGGACACTTAACCTATGCTAAGACACTTTGGGACATCTGATACTTTTTGTT